ACATGAGTGTCATAATGAACTGAGAGTGTTACCAGCAGAGGGAGGGGCAACGGAGGTTGTGAGAGGGTGAGGGTGTTGGTGGAGAGGGAGAGGGAGAGGAGTACTGTCTCCACACGGACTGGCAGTCGAACACATGTCGGGGTATTCACAAGACATTCCACACACCTGCAGCAGTTGTGCATGTGACAATGTCATACAACCAATTGTTCAAGACACTACACGGAGCATGTACAAGAGGGAATTTGGTGAATAAATGCGGTTGTGTACTCTATGATGTTGCAATGAATCACCTTTCAAGGAGACCAGTTGTGTCACGATGAACGGTGAAGGGGAGGGAGATGGTGTAAGACAGAGGAGGGAGGACGAGATAGAGAGGAAGATGAGGAGGAGGAGGATGAAGATGAAGGGAACTAGGGACTCTCACTCTGACCAGCAAGCTGTAAGGAAAACACCTATATTAGTAGACACTATCTTTGTGGACATTGTACATACACACGCAGGCAAGCAACTGTATTGGGTCAAACCTTGTGAAAGTGAAAGAGTGTGTTGTTCAGCTGTTCTTATGGTTACAGTCTTGACTCCACCACTGAACTGATGCAATCACACCGATAGTACCAGAACTCCTGGCTGTTAGGGAACAGAGGAGTGATACAGTAGCCAGAGGATGCCGAGACCGAGTGTCTAGGCGCTGCGTTCAGGTCGCAGGTCTATACTCATGTAGGCGTGGTGTTCGAATCCCACTCCGGACATCTCTTTTCTGTACATTTTGGTTTCAATCAGACTTTTACCCTTAGAAAGCAAGGGTGCGCTAGGAACATACCATTTAATGTCATGGACCGAGCGTCAACGCTATATACATGTGTACACATCACTTATTGCTGATAAGAGATGAGCTGATACGGAAGAAGAAAGAAAGGGCACGCATGACTCACTTGCCGCTTGTTGACTCTCAGCAGTAGTGAACACTGCTCAACTCTCATCTGACAAAGGAAAGATGCAACACATAGCAGAGTAGTAGGTTAGCGTATGCATTCTCGAAGCGAGAGATCATCAGAAACACAGCAAAATGCTACATCTATTTTCTGATTGGTCACCTTGTTGTGCAGGCTACTGCATTGGTTTGCCACACCAGGTCTCCGGAGGTGGCAGTCGTTGGTGACATCATCAGTAGTCATGATCCCAGTTACCAGCACCTCTTCGTCTCTTATCTGCTCCACCTGGCCAGAGAACATCACTGGAGACAGTGGGGGAGTTGGAGGGAGCTTTCAGAGGAGCAGCCCCAAGCCCAGTCCCTCTGCGTCCACAGGCTGCTGCTACCGAGCTCTGAGTGAGGACAGATAGGTCATACGCTAAACACTCTTGCACGCTCACATTCTGTATTACATGACGGACACTGCTACATTAAAAACTAGTTCCAGTGGGTTGGTCGTACACAACTTGCAGAACTGTAATCTCAGCACTAGGAGCAGATGTTTGAACCACCTGTCTGGGACACCTATGTATGGGAGGTGTGAGCTCGAACCCTGTAATTGACCACTAATATGGCGCACGTACTGTTGGAAATGTACAGCACCCGAGACGACACCATGGCTCTATTGTAAGCGTAAGTATAGAAAACTCGTACAATCTGAATACAGTACACTTTCTCTCCTGTTCCACAGTCGGAGAGCCTGAGAGTGTCTGAGGTAGTGAAGGTAGTGGTCTTGTGCCACTGGATCTCGCGTTCTCTCTGCCTCACTAGATAGGCATAGTCTCTGTCCACTACGTGTAGCGGGGGTCCGTGGATAGGAGTGCTCTGCAGGTCATAGTGGATGGGAGGAGGGCTGTTGTGCACATCATGTGGCACCATGCAGGGTCAATAAAAGACACAGTAGGGGTCAAAAAAGTTTACAACATGACACGAAATGGAACCATTGTTTTGACTCTATACTGGAGTATTTTAATTACGCACGTTCACAAAAAGGAAGGACAGACGTTTCAAAGAACGTCCATCAATAGAATAGAACAGGAAAGGCTCTACTGGATTGTGAACTCAGTGGATATAGTACATGTAGCAGATGGCCGTAGCGGTCTGTACAGGCGCTGCGTTGCAGGAGGTTGCAGATCCTACTCATGTAGGCGTGGTTCGATCCCTCCTGACCGCTACTTTTGCTGCATGTAGCAGAGAAGTACATATTACTGACACAAACGACTGATATCCACTCGTAGGTCCGAATGCGGTAGAGCATGTCATCAGGATGGAGGCGTAGTTGCTGTTACTTTACACTCCCACTCTCGTCCCCTCTTCCCCTCCCACCCAGGCCTTGGACTCACTCCCGCTCTCTCTCAGATCACCACCAGCTGCCTTCCCTTATTCCTACCATTCTTACCACTCGTAGAGCAAGGGTCAGCAGAGCATACACAATTCACCAACAGCATCTCAAAAAGATATTTCAGGTTGAGAACTACAAACTACTCTTGAAAAACATACCAAAAGCACCCATCTATAATGCAAATACACAAAGAACGAATGAAACACATTATATTCTGTTGGATAAGGAAGAAACTACTATATACTACATACTATACGCATTCAGAAGACTACATACTGTAAGTGGATTACACCAATAATAAACAATGTGAGCCGGCCTAACATTCTGAACTAGTACTGCAGACTTGTATGTGTTATAATAGGCAATGTGCATGTCATGTTATGTAATACTCTGGAGTCCTGAGGTCAGTATGTCGATGAGTAGTCTGGCATTGAGTGGTCCGAGTTGCTTTGGAGTGAAGGTGAGGGAGAGGGAGAGGTGTGTGAGGTGGATGTGCCCGGAGGGAGGGTGACAAGTGAAGTGGAGGACACGGTGAGTGGTGAAGTAGGAGGAAGTGTGTCTGACTTGTTGTGGACCTATGGAAATACACACCCTGCTGTACTATGTGTAAGATATGACTACAGGCCATGTTGCGTAGTGTGGTAATGCAGAGATAGAAATGGCCTTGCGGCGCAGAAAGCCACATGTCCCACACATCTCTGTTGCTAGCATTTAACAGTGTACAGGACATCACCAAGTGTACTATGGTAGTGACAAGCAGTGTTTCTTTTCCAGCTGGGAGACTGAAAAGAGATGTACTAATGGTAAGTAGACCTTGACATGCTGGGTGGTGGGGGACATGGTGGGAGTGGCTCCAAACTGTAGTGGAGGGCTGGGCTCCAGCTGTACGTCCACTGGTAGAGCAGTTGCACACACTGCCACCTCAAGGTCACCTCCAGAGGCTGGAGTGGAGAAATCATCAACCAATAATTATGGTGAGTAGATGTACATCGGTTAAAAGAGCTTCAACATCATCTCAGGTCTCAGCAAAGCAAAGCAAACAACACAACTACAACACAGTATGTTCTGCAAAACACTTTTAAGTGCCATTATAGGCCACAAAACTCACTGAACATTATGGCAGTCATTTCCTTTTACAATACAAAGCAAGATTAGGCAGAATGTGGTGTACATACCTGTGGCCTCTCTGTTGGTGTCAACAGCAAGGAAGCGAAGGTAGAGTGTGTAGTCACGTCTGGTGGGTGTGGCCTGGAAGTGGACTCCACCCACTGTCGGAGGAAATGAACCTGGGAGCAAAGGTCAGCTCCAATTTCCTCTTCTCATAAGGCAACAGAGTACCCTGTGAGTACGGGAAGACTATTAACACTATAATTGCCAACATTGTTATAGAGTCACTTCAGCTTGGGGCATATGTATAGCTAGGTATTGGCCTCTAGACTATTGCTAGTGATTTTGAAGCCATGGTGAGTCATTCTCGCTGAGTTTTGAGGCGTTTTGTACGCGGATCACGTGAGATTTCACTCGTGTCATCCCTATATAGAGCGTCTACCGACGCTCTGATATAGCAGAGTAGTACTACTTACACGACTTGATATCCATTGTAAGGTCTAATGCTGGTGGCCATGTCATCAGGATGGGCGTAGTTGATGTTACTCCCACTCTCATCCCCTCTTCCCCTCCCCCAAGACCCTGGACTCACTCCCTCTCCTCTCAGATCCACCACCATTGTCTTCACCACTCCTCCTTCTTTACCACTCTGTAAGAAAGGGTCAGCAGAGCATACACAATTCACCTGCAGCATCTCAAAATACATTTCAGGTAGAAAACTACAAACTACTCTTGAAAAACATACCAAAAGCACCCAATCTATAATGCAAATACACACGAAGAACAAATGAAACTATTTTTTGTTGAAAGGCAGAACTATACACATTCAGAAGACTACATAAGCGGCTTACATCGCTCACCAATAATAAACAATGCAAGCCGGCCTAACATTCTGAACTACAGTACCTGCAGACTATGTGTTATAATAGGTAATGTGCATGTCACACATACTCTGGAGTCTGAGGTCAGAATGTCGATGAGTAGTCTGGCATTGAGTGGTCCGAGCTGCTTTGGAGTGAAGGTGAGGGAGAGGGTGAGGGTGTGTGAGGGTGGGATGTGCCCGGAGGGAGGGTGACAAGTGTAGTGAGGGACACGGTGAGTGGTGAAGTAGAGAGGGAGTGTGTCTGACTTGTTGTGGACCTATGGAAATACACATCCTGCTGTACTATGTGTAAGATATGACTGTAGGTAAAAAGTTGGGTTTACAGTATGTCGTATTGACCCTACAGGCCATGTTGCGTAATGTGGTATCACAGAGATAGAAATGGACAGAAAGCCACATGTCCCGCACATCTCTGTTGCTAGCAAACAACAGCAAAGGGAGTGAGTGGGCTTACTATAAAAGGAAAAATGCGAGTACAGAATCGACATTACACAAACTTATGTATATTATGTAGCAAAAAACGGATGATGGTCTACATACAGGTACATATGTATGTAGTGTGTATGTAGCTAAAATAAGTGGGCTCGTTTCACTGGCCAATGTGTAGGTGTACCTGAGAAGGAAGGACAGATATGATAGACTCGTAAGGAGGAGTGGAGCCCTGTTCCCTCCACCTCTCCTGGCCGGGACCTCCCTCCGTGAGGGCCATGGCCACACCCTCTGCCCCGCCCACCTCACTCCCTCGGGCTCTCTTGTCCAGGAGACACAGGTAGTCAGTGGACACTGGACTCTCATTGAACAGAACAACTTGTCTGGAGTGAGTGGGAGACAACTTTTATTATATACATTCCCTCTCCTTTGGCAATTGCTTCACAGCAATTACATCATTAGCAAAGAGTAATACTTGCGACATATGTATTTACAAAACACGAATGAACTGCTTGCTTCACCAGCCAAAAATGTGATTGCA